ATTAGAGCACAGAATAGGAGGGATTATGTTGGATCCAAAGATTGGATGAAAGTGTTTAGTTCTGGGTTGCCAAAAATGGCTGACCTTGGAATCACCTATTTTTATTTTATTTTATTTTTTTTATTTATTTATTTATTTTTGAGACAGAGTCTCACTTTGTTGCCCAGGCTAGAATGAGTGCCGTGGCGTCAGCCTAGCTCACAGCAACTTCAATCTGCTGGACTCAAGCAATCCTCCTGCCTTAGCCTCCCAAGTAGCGGAGACTACAGGCATGTGCACCATGTATGTGTGTGTGTGTGTGTATATATATATAATATATATTAGTTGGCCAATTAATTTATTTATATGTAGAGACGGGTCTTGCTCTTGCTCAGGCTGGTTTCGAACTCCTGACCTCAGCATCCACCTGCCTCAGCCTCCAGAGTGCTAGGATTATAGGCAAAAAAAAAAAAAAAAAAAGTAGTCCAAAGCTTGGAAGAAATGCTAGTCAGTTGGTGCAAGGTCTAGTGAATATGGTGGATGACAGAGAGTTTCCAAGTCCAGCTTCTGTAGTTTGAGCAGCGTTATTTGTGCAACATGTGGTTGAGCGTTGTCTTCCAAAAGGACCGGCCTGTCTCTATTGACAGATCTTGACTGCTTAATCACAAGCATCCTCATCATTTCATCCACTTGGTTGCAGCAGACATCCACTGTAATCAACTGACCAGGTTTCATGAAGCTGTAGTGGATAATACCAGCACTGGACCACCAAACAGACATCATTAGCTTTTTCTGATGAATATTTGGTTTTGGCACTTCATCTTTATCCAACCATTGTGCCAAATGCTTGCAATTGTCCAGAAGAATCCATTTTTTGTCACATACAACAATACAATATAGAAATGGTTCATCTGTACGTAGTGACAGTGAAGAAAGACAAGCTTTGAGATGATTTCTCTTCTGACACTTGTTTAATTCATGTGGAATCCATCTATCTAGCTTCTTTACCTTGTCCATTCATTTCAAATAGTCTAATATTGTTGGAAGGGTAATGTCAAACCTTGCTGCTAATTCACATTTAGGTTGAGATGGATTCACTTCCACTCTAGCTTTCAGGTCATCATTATCTACCTTGGTCTCAGGTCACCCACATGGTTCATCTTCAAGATTAAATTCACTAGAATGGAATTTCTCAAACCATCGATGTCCTGTGTGTTAACTAGCCACATCCTTCCCAAATACTTCATTGATATTTTGAGCTGTCTGCACTGTATTGGTTCCACCACGGAACTCATAGTTGAAAATAACACATTTTTTTTACCTATCCATGGTTTCACAAAAATAAAAACAATTTGAAAGATAATCACAAGCCAAAATGTGCATTTGAAAGACTGAGGATATACCTTTACAATAAAAATAAAATAAGAAGTCAAAGTGAAATGTTAGAGATACCAACTGTCAAACTTAGTACTTAAGGATATTAGACATTTCATACTTAATAACGTAATATAACATTCCATTGTGAGGCTTATCATAATGCATTTAACCAATACTTTGTCATTGAATATGTTTATATCCAGATTTTTGCTTTAAATTGATAATGTGATAAGTACTCTGGTTTTTTTTTTTTTTTTGAGAAAGAGTCTCATTCTGTTGCCCGGGCTAGAGTGCCGTGGCGTCAGTCTAGCTCACAGCAACCTCAAACTCCTGGGCTCAACCAGTCCTTCTGCCTCAGCCTCCTGAGTAACTGGGGCTACACCATGCCTGGCTAATTTTTTCTATGTATTTTTAGTTGTCTGGCTAATTTCTTTCTATTTTTAGTAGAGACAGGTCTCGCTCTTGCTCAGGCTGGTCTTGAACTTCTGACCTTGAGTGATCCTCCCGCCTCAGCCTCCCAGAGTGCTAGGATTACAGGCATGAGCCACCATGCCCGGTCTGGTAAGTACTCGTATACATAACTCTAGTTGTACTTATTATTTCCTTAGGACAAATGTCTAGAAATAAAATTTTTAGGTCAAAGGGTAGAAATATTTTAGGGCCGTCAAATCATCCCTCAAGAATTTGTATATCCATAAGCAATGTTTTCGCCACATCTTTGCCAATATGAGGTTTTTTAGAAGCTTTCAAAAATACCACACACTTCCTCTTAATCTAGTGATGGCTAAAACAAAACAGAATAAACCACATACTTCTTGGTAGCTCTTTTCAACTTACTCAAGTTCTTTCCCAGAAAATAACTATTATGGTTTTGTGCTAACAGCCTCCTAACTCCTAATAAACCTCATCTCAGAGGTGAGCAGTTTACATAACATGCAGGTCGAAGTGGACCAAATGTTCTTGAAAAGAACAGTGGTTCTGACTAGTAGTGCATCTCCCTGGAAACTGAGCTATTAGGAAAGAAGCGAATCCTACAGGTCCTGGGGCAGTTTCCTCGTGGTAGCAAAAAGCATGGACTTTTGAGTCAGACAGATCTGGGTTCTAATTCCTACTCAGTTATTAACTGTCTGATACTGGACAACCTTCTTATTCTTCTACTTCATTTTTCTCATCTGCAAAACAGGGAGAGTAATTCCTACCATAAAGTATGATTATGACTGGTGGGACTGGCCCATCATAGTTCAATGAACTTCAGTTGCATACCTCCGAGGCCCAAATAAAAACAAGACAGGAGAGAGGACACTCACCTTCTCTGCAAAGGTGAAAATCTTTCTCTGATCAACACCTCCAAATTGGGCATCTACTTTTAAATACTCTTCATCCAAAGCCTGTGGAAAGAAACACAGGAGCATAAACATCTACCGTACTTCTTCTATATGGCTCTGAGATATCAATAACTTCCGAAAACCACTAGATTTTTTTCATTAAGTAGAGACAGGGAGAAAATAAACAGCTTTTAACCTCCCCATTGGCCTCAAGAGCTGTATAAACAGTTCCTGACTGCCTGCATGAACATTATTACACAAGAATAAAAAATAAGAAGAGCTGTGTCTACCCTCGTAGTACTCATAATCTGGTAGGGAGGGAGAGAAAACAAACTATCGTCATGTCAGAGGTACCCTATTGAATAAGGCAGCCTGTGACAAATGTAAAGTAGCATAAAGAATTAAGTTCTGTGAGAGCTCAGAAAAAAGGTAAGACTGAACTAATAAACAGTGACTGTCACCTCTGACATGGCAGGCCTGGTGCCAGCTTTGTGAATGCCGAGATAACTCAGACCTAGACTCTCCCTTCAAGAAGCCCAATTATCCAATTGGGGTCATTTCAATACAGCGAGCTAAGGGCTAACCTAGATGTTCATACAAGGAACAGCACTAACACAAGGAAGAAATTACCTCCTCTATTTAGTAAGATGGGTGTGGGGAAGGCTTCCTAGAATCAGATAGTGGGCTATGCTTGGTTTTAAAGAACATATAGATGTTTTTCACCGTGCAGACAAAACAGAATATGACTAGGCACAGAAGTGTGAAGTGCTTAGGGAAATTATGAGTGATTCAGTCTGCAAAAGCACAAACTTCAAGGAATGTAGGAAACAGTGATGAGGACTGGGCACGGTGGCTCACGCCTGTAATCCTAGCACTCTGGGAGGCCAAGGCGGGTGGATTGCTCGAGGTCAGGAGTTCAAAACCAGCCTGAGCAAGAGCGATACCCGTCTCTACCATAAATAGAAAGAAATTCATTGGCCAACTAATATATATAGAAAAAATTAGCCGGGCATGGTGGCACATGCCTGTAGTCTCCGCTACTTGGGAGGCTAAGGCAGGAGGATTGCTTGAGTCCAGCAGATTGAAGTTGCTGTGAGCTAGGCTGACGCCACGGCACTCATTCTAGCCTGGGCAACAAAGTGAGACTCTGTCTCAAAAATAAATAAATAAATAAAAAAAATAAAATAAAATAAAAATAGGTGATTCCAAAGGTCAGCCATCTTTGGCAACCCAGAACTCAACTTTTTACATCTTTGGATTCCACTAATCCCTCTATTCTGTGCCTCTAATGATCACAACAAAAGTGTACTTTCCCTAAGCAGGACTCTTAGATGTTAAAATATATCATATTTATAATATTAGTTATAACAAACATCCTGGGCTGGGCACAGAGGCTCATGCCTGTAATCCAGCACTTTGGGAGGCTAAGGTAGGAGGATCACTTGAGGTCAGGAGTTTGACATCAGCCTAAGCAACACAGTGAGACGTCTCTACAAAAAAAAATTAGAAAGATTAGCCACGTGCAGTACCTATGTACCAGCTACTCAGGAGGCTAAAACAAAAGGACTACTTGAGCTCAGGAGTTGGAGGGTATAGTGAGCTATGATTGTGCCATTGCATTCCAGCCTGGGCAACACAGTAAGACCCTATTTCAAAAACAAAAACATATTGGACTGAGGAGGTCTTTTGGCAAAATGAATAAAAAAAATATTAAATAAGAATTAAAAGAAAAATCTAAAATTAAACCTTTCTTTCTTTCTTCTTTCTTTCTTCTTCTCCTTTCTTCTTTCTTTCTTTCTTTCTTTCTCTCTCCCTCTCTCTCTCCTCTTCTCTCTCTCTC